GGTCTCTGGCGGATCACCGTCGCTTGGTGGGGTGGGGTCCCTTGTGCCGTTTGGTGCGCGACCCCAGGGAGGCCGATGGACTTAGCAGGTTCATGTCCCATACATTGACCCCTTTTCAACCACCCGAACTGATGAATTGATATGCTAGTCTGCCCACTGCCAAGACGGCTGTGGCTGGACATGAGGTGGCAGTCGCGCTATATATGCTAGTCTCCTGGAGTCTCTGGGATATCCAGTTGCCAATTAACATGTCAGGAGAGTGAACCCATCCCCCGCTCAAAGCCATACAGGGCCAGTTGGATGTGAAGAGAACACTCACATTCTCTACTCACTTCTTGCCTTTTGATCGATGGGTAGGAATCCTGCACCACTCGGGAAAGGACCAAGAGACTGTAACGTAGACTCTTGATTCATCAAGCCTCCACATTTGGATTGAACAATCTCTTCATATGGACCTATGTTGGAAAACATGTTATCCACCAACAGTCTACATTACTATGCTTTTACTTCTATAATCTTCTGTATATCCAACGGCTCCCTGCACAAGGAAGCACATTTCCACACGTCGCCTGCTTTGGCGTTTGCGGCGAACTCCTTGCAGGTCGAGAAGGAGAGCAACCCTTGGAGCCCTGTGGCAAAGGATGAACTGCGGGTGGCCTTTGCCAAGTTGACCTATGGAACCTTGGAAGACCTTGCGATCATTGAAGTTGCTGGTTTTCCGATGTTTTTTCTCCACCAGATCCTGCCACCACGTGCGGTCGGGCCGACTTCAGTGAGCAAGGCCTTGGAAGCACGGAGGCAGTAGGGAACATCCACGGTTTATCTTTCTTTCTGGGCCTTCACGGCCTCCAGCAAATCTGAGTTGCCCAACCCAAAGTAGAATAACACATAATTAATAACACAGTTCCTTGGTTTGAACCCACATTCTCTCCAGCAAATCCCAGGTATGGGAGAAGAAGATCCCATCCGACACATTGTCTTCCATGACAAGAAACATCAGAAGAAGGACACTCGGACGGTGGGAGACACGGCCACACCGTCGGCTGATTGGTTTGGGCGGTTAGGATGGACGCCATGGAGGATTGGGAGAACAGACTCCCATAGGTGTGGTCATTCACCTCCAAATGGCCTAAGCCAGCAACCCCCCCTGATGTGATTGTTCCAGACATGATGGTCAAGGTGCCGGCGACCAATGTCCGCGGAGCCCTGGTGTTCCTTTCTGCTTTCGTGTCGGTGTCGGAACATCTACGACCAATGTTGATGCTGCCACATGGCCCCAGACCATGCGCAGTCAGCATCCAACATTGGCTGACTGGTGCTTAGCAGGGAATGAGGGAATGGATCCAATAGAATCTCTATTGGGGGCTCATTCCCTTATTCCCTACTAAGCACCAGTCAGTTGGTTTCTTTTTGGATCCGGCAAGCCGACCATCGTTGGGCCTGGGATCGGTCGAGCCGCGAGCCGAGAAAGAGGGACTCGGGTTTTGGCCACCGGGATGGCCAGGACACTCCGGACGATCCGGATGCCAATCCGTACAGGAGCAAGGCGCAAGAAAAAGAACCATCGGTTTTGGCCGCGAAAAGCTGAGACTCCTTGGAATGAGTGAGAACCCACAGGTTTGGTTGGACCTCGGATTTCAGGGTCATCCGAGTCTCTCGGGCCAGCCGCTCCATCCACGGCCAGGCCCGACTGATCGTTCTGACGGGAGAGCGCCCCATCCGAGCCACCTGGTTGACTTGGGTGTGTTTTCCTGGCCGCTCCGTCAGGAGATGAACAACCCGTGCCCAAAACTCTTAATCTTCATTGGGATCTTCATCTGCATGGAAGCGTTTACATACACAGTCTACATGCCATATATCGTACGATCCCACGAGTCCATCATCGACGTCAAAGAGATGAGTCCATCATATCCATCCAATACTTTTCCACCACTCCATCTACCCCGGAGGCCTTCCTCTTCTGGTCGCCATCCGACTCAGCGCGCTTGCACGACGACGCCACGCGGACGCGGCTGAACGCCGCCGGGGAGAAAGTGGCGGAACGCTTAATGGGGGAGGAGCCGAGGGATGTGGCAGTTGGGATGCCGGGGCGGGCCCTGAGGGCCCAGGGAAGGCACCATGGCGGTTGACTCAGGATTCTGGCCCAAGCAGTGCTGTTCTCTGTTGTGGAAATGGAGATTTTCCTATGTCAGAGGGGTGCTTGGATCACGAACAGAGCCTTTGCAGGCCCCAATCACTGTACATAATAGGAAAAGAGCTGACGTCTTCAAGGTCTGGTAGATGGACGTGTTGGTAAGCAGGATCGTGTATATCTGCATATCGTTGACTTCTTGAGCTTGTCGTGCTGTTTTCTCAGCACGCGCTTTCGCAATCCAAGCGCAATAGGGGGCAAACTGCCACCCACAAGCTCGATCCAGCCTCGGGCAACTCCAGTCGACAGGAGCCTGACACCACGCCCGCGTCTCCGTTGAAGAAGCGGCGGAGAGTGCTGGAGTTCCAAATGAGCCAGGACGACGGGAGTCGGGAGCCACAAAGAATTGAAGCACCCACCATTAAAGCAACGTGCTTATGTGAACCATGGGACCATTATACAAGCCAGAACCGCATAGGAAGCGAAACAACAGCAGCAGGTATAAGATGGTATGAGGTTGTAAAGGATATTTTCAGTAAACATATGATATGGGGACTTGATCCAAAGGGGTGTGTAAGGGGTGTATAAAGAACATTTTAGATGCTTTAAACCATTTGTGAAAGATCCGCGCGTTTTTTGCGAAACGCTTATTGCAGGTCTTCATTGTTATCTTGCCGTATGTCCTTTCCACCATGGTAGAAATACAAGGCAATCCTCCGGCAGAGCCAGTGGGCGGATAGGTCCCTACTGTCCCACTGTGACTAAGAAACTGAAGCCTCAACTTGTCCTTACCAGCTGTGCAGGCTCAAGCACACCAGATTGAGCCAGGATTGTCTCACACTTGGTTGTCAGTCACGTCAGTACTTGAGGCCACCGGGTTCCTTTCGTGTTGGGGATCAATCAAGCGCCAGTCCATTCAACGGCCAACCAAGAGCAGGCTAATAAGCAGTCCCAGAATGCACAACCTATGGTTAAACAAAGGATTGAGGTCACAATCGGAGGCGAAAAGAAGGAGCTTACACCTGTGGAGCTCGACCAGTTTCAGAGAGACCTTAACCTGAAGCCGCTTAAGCCTGTGTGTGGAGTGTGCTGCAAGATGTCAGTCACTATATACTTGTGATTACTATGCCGTTGTACACATGTTAGCTAGACATGTTCTGTAGGACCATGATCAACCTCGATGCCCAGGTAAGTGGTTGTTGGTGGTTGTGTGATCCGTGCAAGATCAATCCAGAGATGCCAAATTCCGGTGAAATGCACTATCCATGGAAATGGGACCATGGCATGGTTATGTGTACATGATATATTAATCACACACATCGGTGTGCATCCGAAAGCATACCCCAACGATTCCTCTCGTGTATATAGTATAATATATATATAATTGGAATCGCGCAGACATTCCAACATTCCATGTCCGTTCATTGCTAAGTATACAGAAGACCCATAGTTTGCTTGGAGGTTTTGCCGTTCGCTCACTTCATGTTTTGCCCAGCTGCTCAGCCGCATGTTCATGTTCTGCTCAGCCGAGAGACCTCCCAGGACTAATTGGGCGAATGCGTTCCGCTCCCGCATCTCGGTCTCGGAATTGGCCCATCAGGGGTCCTGGGACCATCCAAACAGGGAGTACAGTTGGTAAAAACTCCAAAAGCAATACTTCTTTGGAGATCCTGTCACTGGGATCTCCGAAGTCTTGGATATTCTTGACGTGTTTTGGTGATTGTCCGGGTTTTTGGAAGTCACTTCGATGTAAAGCAGCTTCTGTAGCCGAAGGTCCTCGCTGGTGGACTAGTGGTAGTGAGACATGACCAGGTTGGGTAGAATCATAACCTACTGAAGTTTACACATCAAAACGGTGAGTACCAAGTTCTGCAGTACAACATGTGTTGGAGAATCCAGTATATTGGCACTGGCATAAAAGATGTGTGTCGTAGGCGTTCGCTCACCTCTCACGACAATTGCTTTGGGTTCCATTGATGAGAGAGTAGAGGCTTCAAGGGCTTCCACAAGATGTCAAGTCTTCCGAATGCAATGCCAAGAACCCTTCTTCTACTCAGGTGCACACGTTCCTGCGGTGGAGACCGTCGTAGCCAGCTGAGGGCGATTGCCAGAATGAGCCTCCTTGCGATGAGTGAAGTAACAAGGACGCTACTAGGTGGAGGCCATCGTTACTAGGAGCAAGAAGCTACTATACCCTAGGGATCCAAGTACCTTCTCAGAAGGTGATTGGAGACTATTTATGTAGGGCCCAAGTAACTTCTGAGAAGGTATGTGGATCCCTAGGGTATAGTAGCTCCTGGCATCACTACTAGAGGCATAGCGCCCGCTTTTTTCGGTGCTCCGTCGCAGACCGAAAGCTCGCGGACCGAAGAGAAGAGAAGCCCGGTGCCGCGCGGTGCGCGGGCGCCGCTGCTTTACCCATTTGCTGCGCTGGATCGAAATGGTGGATCTTAACGGTCTGGACCCTGGTGGCCTGCGCTTCCAGAAATGGCAGAACCTGAAACCACCGAAAGGCGGAAATAGATACGAAAGGACAAGAACAGCTTCGATCCTTTCAGGTGATTCCCAACGATGTAATCCCTTCCCCGAACGATCAATCAGGGATGCAAGAAGTATGATGTATGATGATGTATGTGTTTCCAGGAACATCCTCAAGATGTTTACAGCAGATGGTTTCCAACACCTGAATCTAAATATTTCCTTCGAACCCAGATCAGTCTACAATCATCTCCAAGAGTGCTTGATTTCAACAGAAATCCCCAGCTTGACACGCCACGATCAAAGAACATGCCCACCCAGACTCAGACGCTCCGTTCACAGCCCTTGGTCCCAGACCCCTCCAGAGGATTCGTGTCCGACCCCTCCATAGGTTCGGGTCCAGGGTCTGGGCAACTCCCTCAACCGGGTCCGTCGCTGCAAGGACTCGGTGGACCGCTACATCCGCGGGAGCCTCTTCCCACCGCACGATCCAGCGGCCGGGGAATCCAGAGGAGCTCGGTCTTCAAGTGGTAGTAGTAGTAGTAGTAGTAGTAGTAGTAGTAGGAGTAGTAGCAGGAGTAGGAGTAGGAGTAGGAGTAGGAGTAGGAGTAGGAGTAGGAGTAGGAGTAGGAGTAGGAGTAGTAGTAGTAGTAGTAGTAGTAGTACTAGCAGTGGTATTGGTGGTAGTAGTGGTAGGGTTTTTTCGAGGTATTTTTTGCTTGTTTTAGTCAAAGTTTTCCACACAAAGAGGACCCCTAACTTGCCACGCTGTG